GGGTTCCTTCTTTTTCCTTGGTTTAAAATTAAACTTGAAATTCTGAAGGGGTTTCTCACTTCTCATGTAGTTTTAGGTGGATTTTCTTCAAGACTGTGTTCGTCAAGGTTTTGAATCCATTATGTAAAGAAAATATATAGTAAAATCAGTCACATTGTGACTAATAAATAAATTTATACAGACATATATAGGAAAAGAAATATGAGAAAATGCTGCTTAAAGAGAAAAACGAGATTACAGAACAATTAAAAAATGATCAAAATATACAAATATATAAGAGTCCTATTAGCTCATCAGTTGGTTTCGCAGGTTCGAGACCTGCATGGGCCAATACTTTTTTTTGGTATTCTCATATGCCCTTACAGTTTCAATTTTTTCTTCTTTTTGCCAAAATGTAACAGAGCTTATGTACCGTATGAGGTTATAAGGAACGTTCAGGCATGACACTGTTTTCTTTTGAACAATAATGGCAATGTTCATATCTACTGGTTTTAGCTATAAAGGGTATTCACTACTTTTTTTTATCATCGTGTGCATGAACCTCTGGAAAGATATCTGACCAGACTTCTTTCAAAATTAAAAATGAAATCTGTGCCTTGATCTTATCCTTTATTTTTCTCTTCTTCTTGAGATACGTGGTTAGATAGAGTGAATCTTTAAGTTGCTGCAATTGCTATATTAATTAGGTTTTATATTGGCATTCCCTTGTAATAGTGACCCATAGATTACTACTACAGCTCAATAAGACTGTTGATGGATTGCACCCTTGATCAGTAATCAATCTTATTATGAGTAAAATATTAACTTAATTAACTTTTAATTTTTAACTTTGTCCTTGTCAGAAAAAAAAAATAAAATAAAAGTAAAAAAATTAGGTTTTATACTGTTGACTTTTTACATGGTTCAGACAATAGTTTGAAACGGTCAAAAGATAAACAACTTCATTTAACAAGAGTAGAAAAGAATACATCTCAAATTAATGTAACTTATGTTTCAGATTATTCTGTAAAGTATCTCAGAAGTTCATCAAATGAAAATATATGTGGTACAGATCACAGAGGCAATCAGAATTCCTCTGAATGAAATTGTGATGGAATTATACAATACAACAACAGATTTTATACATATCCTAGCAAATCCTTACTAGCTCACTAAACTGCCCTAACAAATTGCAATAAGTTCAGACATGGGCCCCCTCCAATGAATTCCACAATTCAGAACACTCTTCTTCCTCCTCCTTTGCTTTTCCTCTCACAGACAACATACTGAATGCTGAGGTTGAAGCCTGCATCAGATCCAATGTCACGTGTGAACCAGTCCCTGGGAACGGATCCCAACCGTGAGATTCGGGAAATGGACGGTGCTGAAGTCCTGTCATAGAATTGGAACCAGCCTGAGCTTCTCCAAGGTCTTCCATTGAGTGGTGGTGCAACTGCCAGTCTTGGTCACGAATAAGCTGGCGAGCAAGAATAGAAGCACGATTTTCTGCAATCAGCTCACGTAAAGCAGCACTGGATCTTGAGGAGAGATCTGATGGAGAAAACCAAGAATCATTGACAGATGACAGAAGAGAGAGAGCACAACCTGTCGATGATGATAAATATGGATGTCTTCTGGCCATCCTATTATCTGTGGACATCAATATATAATTAATGTTATGTTCAGAAGTGTTAACAACAACAAACCCCTGCTTTCTACCAATAAAACAGCATTTCCTGCTACATAGCAGAGCACACCTAGTCGTTCTAGCTATAGTTAACAGAAAATTAACTTCACACGGGAATGAATATTCAATATTCAAAGTGTAATCCTTCTGCACACTAAAGAATGATGGTTATCCTACTTAGATTGACAAAATCTTCAGAAATATTTCATCTATATAGCAATGTATGTGGTGGGGTGATAAAATTGTTGCAGGTTAAAACTATTTCAAAAAATGTCTAAAACCCTCTTAACGAAGGAACAATTCCAACCTTATACTTCGAAATAAAACAAATTGTGAAAAAGTGGTTTAAAACAATGAAGGAAAAATTCTTGCAAAAGAATTATATCCCTAAAGGATACAACATATATCCAAGAATCTTAAATGCAGAACATGTACATAGCCAAAATCACCTTATTCCACTGCAATCAAGACGCATGTATAGAGCATAGTATGTATATATTTATATGATATCCTTGACTAATTAACAATATCAAAATATCATCTCATCACAATAAATAACACATTCCTAATTAACATTTTTTTTATTCATCTTTTAATATTTGTTAAATCCGATTAATTTATAATCAAACCACGTTAAAATCTGATAAGAGCTATCGTCCATAATTGATCTTTCCGATGTATACAAGTACCGTCTCAATCTCTTTCTTCCAAAAGAATTAAATTTTGTAAGTGAAGTTATTTATTTAATGCATATCCTGTTTTACAATCCATTTTTTTCAGATTGTAAATAATTTTTTTTTATTTAATATATTTATAATTCTCTATGAGGAGCATACATATGAAATATGTAAAAATATTTATAAAAATATCATTTATATTAAAGTAGATAGTACCTGTCCTTGAGACAGAATCATGAGACCCCTTTCTTCTTCGCTCGTTGTGCCCTGCCAATCTCCTCCGGCAACTCCTCTTCGAGTCGTCGAACTCAGACACTACGTGAAACCTATATCCACCTTCATCCATCAGTATTTCATCACCAAATTTATTTACAGCGGTTTTAGCTTTTTTCCTTTTTTTTTTTTTAATTATATGTCATGAATGTATGTAAAATCTATGAAGATCTCCTTTGCATAAAAAATACATATATATATATATATAAATTCATGAAATATTTATATTTTTATACCTGCTACACTGTTGACAGAACCGTTGTTCTAACCCTAGCACCATAACAGTAGGAGCCTTAGAATGCTTCTCGCACACTTTATGTCTCCGGTGATAATCCTTGGCGTTCACTAGCGTCACATGGCACCCTTCCACCTGACACCTAGGCACCGCCGTCGTCGGCGAGGACTGCCCCATCGCACCACCGCGAAGGTTATAATAGGGTTTACCTCGCTTCCCTATGGAGGCCCCGAGAGACGTAGAGTCCTCGAAATAGTGGCGCTTCCCTAGCTTCAAACACACGAGATGCGGGTCCGGATGCAAGCGAGACCCATCGCCGCCGTAGAGAGAGTAGCGGTTGCTGCAACTGCTATTGCTGCTGCTGCTGCGGCTGATGGTGGTAATAGCGTTTCCATCATGGTGAGGGAACATCAGCGCGTGAGATACACTTCCCTGTGGATGCGTGAAGAACTCATTCTCCACCCTGGCGGTTACGGGCGCGGTAGTAGTGGCGTAGGCGTAGGAGTAGGAGTCGAGCCTGTTATAGTTACCAAAACCGAATTTGGAAGCATGAAAGTCTCGTGTTTCCCAGGGATGAGCTGTATTATTACAACTTTGGTCATTTTCCATTATGCTACGTTTGCCGGATTTGGGTGCGGGGAGCGTTGGTGGTACGTTTGTTTGTTTGTTTGATCAAAAGAGGAAAAAGGAGGAAGAAGAAGAAGATAGAGAATACTGTACAAAATGCCCCAAATCCAACACCGATGGGATTTCATTGCATGAGTGCCTGAGAAAAGGAGAAAGGCTGCAACGGTTGCAGGCACGTGAGAGTGATACGTGGGAAGAGTGAATGAGATGAATCCACGTGGTGGGTGGATCATGATCAGGCGGAGGTCGGATATGAATCTGAGAAATGTGGAGCAGCGGATGCAGAGAGAGCAGCAGCAATAAGTAAGAGAGAGGGGATGATATGACTCATGACGATCAGATATTTCATCAGATCAGAGAGAGACTGCCCCATTTTGATTTTTCTTTTTGGTTTATTATATTATACAATAATAGATTGGTTTGATTAGCTTATGTTCTTAGATCAGGATAATGAAAGTTTGGTAATAAATTTGAAACTTTAAATAAAAAATTTTACGTTTGAAAATAATAATTATTATATTATATATATATATTTTTAATATTTTGTCATGGGTCGACTCAAACCGTTGTCCTGGAAAAGGGAGATATGAACCTTACAAGCGTGGTTAGAGTCACTTGACTCGAAGGATTAGGTTCAATAATTATTATATTATAATAATTAATAATTTATTGATTTGAATAAAAAAAATTTAATTTTCTAAATGAGTAATGATACGAAAAATGAAAAAATAGAATAAATTCATGAGACTAAAGACATGAAAAAGATATGAAAAAAAGTGAGATAAATATAAATTTTATTTTATTAATATATTGTTGATGTGGCAAATCAGTTCATAATCATCTCATGAAATCGTCTCTTTTTTTGTTTTTTTTTTATCGTTATTCTTTCTAAATAAATTCTAAAAGAGCTTTTTCGTAAGTAAGTTTAGTACAATTTGATTTTGAATTAATTAAAATTTAATTTAATAATAAAATATTAAGAATTTAATAAAAAATAATTATTAGATTGTAATAAATATAAATACATATTTATTATTAATTATTATTTTATATAAAAATTATAAATATTTTATTTTATTTTTAATATTTCTATTACTTTAGTCATTTTAATTTATTAATTAATTGAATTATAATTAATGTTTTTTTTGAACAAGTTGTCAAAGAACGAATTTTGAGAAAAAATGCACCTTAAACTGTCTGAGTGTCAATTGACGTTAGTTGCAATTATAATTAATGTTTATATTTTATATGTTATTAATTATAAATATAATAAATATACTTTGACTTACATTTATAATAAAGACCCAGTTTAATATATATATATATAGATATCTCGTTATGATTACTATACCATTAAGAAATGCAAAAAGGATGCTTCGTATTTTTGTCGTTCTAGACGCGTCTAAAAGTGCGTGTACCACATTCTAGCATTGCCGCCGCTGATTTCCATGCATTTTGAATGCAGCAGGAAATTGTTTTTTTTTTTTTTAAGAAAAAAAACAAAACAAAAAACAAAAAGATCTTTTAATTTGAAAAAAATTTATTTATAAATAAATTTTATATATTATATTTATATAAAATTTTTATTTTTTATTTTTCATAGTTAAAATTTGTTATACTTTTTTAAAATAATAAATAATTATTTTTAATAAATAAAATAAAAAATAAATAAATTATTAAAATTTATATAAATGTAATATATAAAATTTATATATGCGTTAAATTAATCTTATTTTATTAAAGTAAATTTTAGCTTTTAAAAAACCTTTAGTAAATTTAATTATGTTAGGGCTCGTATGTCTACTATTTAAGCTGTTCAATAATAATTAGACCCATTTAGTTTTTGTTCGCCATGAGAGGATCGTACCATCACATGAGCTCATAAACTGGGGAAGAGTCAGGGATCCAAAGGTAGCTAAGTCTTCAAAATTTTGAATTTTAATGTTAATAGAATTGTACCAAAGTTTTATTATGGGTTTTAGTTGAAAATTTTTTATGCAAAAAAAAAAGAGAGTTAAATATGACAAATTTAAAGTAAATTTGTAAATTTAAATTTTCATATTTTAAATATTCATTAATAATGAAAACTTATATGTCTCATTATATTATATAATTGGTATGAGTTTTTTTTTTTTTGTATTAACCTTTCAGTATCTGGTAACCACTGAATTTCGATTAATATGAAATCAAATCGTATTGAACTCATTAGAGGAAGAAATTTTCTCACCACTTGTTTCTCTATTCACAAAATTTGAATTCGAAATCTTATTTAAGAAAAAATAAACTCTTTTCACTCAAATCAACATATTATTGGTTTGATATGAGTATATATATATATATTAATAATCACTTTGTAAACTTTCTTTTGACGTTACATGTTTAAAATAGTTTAGAAATGAATGAGGCATGAAGTCCGAAGGGTCTGGCGTTTGATAACCTATTTCAAGGATGAATAAGATAAAAGGGAAAACAATAAGATGGACCTTGATGATTCTTAATTTTGACAATTTGATCCGTAACATTTTGGAACAATGCTAAATAGTCTCCTTATAATTCAAAATTTAAGAAATAGAGATAAGCATTTCTGACCATTTTGAGAGTCTCATGAGTTTCTAAATCTTAAAATTTTTTGTACGTCACAAAACAGTTAATAAAATCTTAAAATATTGTAAAAAGTCAAGCCGCCCGAAGAAAGATTTGCATCTCTGCTCTGTTCATAAGCCAATTATGCTCTTTTGTAGTTAGCTAGACAAGTTTTTTTCTTTTTTTTTTAACCATTACACTTTAAGATAAAAAGAAGAAGATATTTATATAGTATTATTATAATTTAAATTTTAATATTAATTAAGACATTAGTTGCACTAACTAATTGACCTATAACAGCTAGTACAGCTAGACAAGTGGATTGATGTTACTTTACAATATGAAATTAATTAAGGATTCCATAAAAAGAGATTTATTAAAGATTAGGAACTACTATTATCCAAATTTATTCCAATAAAAAGTACACTATTGAATTTCTATGCCTTTTTTCCAAGGGGACCGGGTTTGAAAAAAAAATTATATTTAACCATCTAAATTATATCAAATTATATCTATATTATGCCAACCGGCCTGTGACCCAATTGGTTGGCCCCCAAGCTTTAGGGTTTGGGTGAGGCGGAGGTCAAGGCTTCGAGCTCTGCCACCGCCGTGAACTCCACCAACTTGCGCCCCTCAAATGAAGGGTGGAACGTTCACTTTCCTGAAAAATTCCAGCTGCTAACAAACTAATTCTACTAATTTCTTAACCAT